ACAGCAATGCACATAAAGGTCCCGGCACAGTTGTCCGTTTGTCCGCGCTCGTGGTATCCCCGGCTGCTTCGGCTCTTCGCTTTCTGTCTCGAGCTTTCAGCAGCACATAACTGATATCTACCATTGCCGACCCACTCAGTCGCAAGGGAACACCCAAGCAACGTAGGTTTCACGACAAGTAGAGCTGGAGCCATCAATCATCGTCACGGAGGATTCACATCGAATGGTTGCGACCCATGGAACTGCAATTGAACACACAGCTTTTTTTGGGGATTTACACAGGCTAATTTCTCACAGTTATTTGCCTACATCTCACGGTTTTTCGCCTGCAAATCACGGGGTTCTCACGCTGGTTTCACGCTGTTTTCACGGGCCGGGTTTGTGTAGGAGATTTCACACGAGGATAATTTTCCTGGATTGGGTCTGATCGACTTTTTTTTCCGCGCTTCGGTGTTGCAACAAGTGACAAAAAGACAGCTGTTCCTCGGGCTGCTGTATCACCTGTATCGATACATCTCGGTCTATCGAAGCTTAATTAATATCATCGAAATACTATATGCATATGTGGTTTGACAACCGAGCCAGCAGCACGAGCCCTATAGCCTACGACAGCTCAAAAGTGGGCTCAAACCTTCCTGCCCTGATCTCCTTCTTGAGGAACTCGGCAATCATCTCCAAGCCCGCATGCTCCCAGGAGCGTGGAACTTGATCACTCCACGGGTTCGCCTGATCGAGAACCAAAATAGATTGCAAACATCATGTGGGCAACCCCCGCTCTGCCTCAACCAGTTTCTCCATCCCGGTACGAAGTTCTCCCCGGTGCGTGACCTTGTGCACAACAAGAGGTGGTTTGCTTTCTACCCCAAACACCATCCAAAGCACTCAGACCCAGACCATAGTAGTCATATGATGCTGGGTCACCACCCGCCCAAATTCGGCCGGATATGTCTGGGTCTGCCGCAAGCGAGGACCGCCTTGCCTGGGAACCAAAACAAAGGACATGAAATGCTCAAGCACAGGTTTGCTAGACAACAACACATGAATTCCTAAGTGCAGAACACATCTTTCTTCCCGGTGCGGTGGTTCACCTTCCTCTTGACCACACCACAGGAGGAAAGCTTGAGCCTCTGCCTTTCTTTCTTGGTGAGTTTTCGATACAGCTTGCCCAGCCATGGCCTGAAAGCTTTGATACCACACAAACAGTACTGTCTGCGCTCGAGCGATGCACATATACCCACGTGAACCAAATCAAACAAAGACACGGATCGAATGTCTAAGCCCACTGCGGAGTCCCCATCATCATTGTCAATTTGGGGCAGAAGTGCCCATATAAGCCCATATGACTTGGTGCACAGTGGACGAAGCAAAGGAACTTTGCACATTGTTGACTGATTGCTCACGAATCCAGCATCGGCTTCTTGCATCTTAGCCCCAGGCAATCGAACCAAATGAATCGGCACAAAATCGGATAAGAAGTTCATCAGGAACACCATGTGAGGGACTTTTGGTAGGAGGGACCCGAAGGGCTGCTCTATAAAGAAATGTACCCCTCGGAACATCGCAAGCATGCAGAGCAAAATCGTTCTGGTGGTTAACCTCGGCTTGGGTCATGACACACGCATCGCAGCATCTTGCAAGAGGGCATGCCCAGCAACAGATGCAACCATGCATGGCTCGCTCACAAGATTACTAACATACTTAATGCACATCAAGAATCATGTTGGCTTGCCGGATATACCGGTGCCGAAGCGTACCCCAGATATTTTCTTCAGTCCTGCCGCTCGTCCCCTGGTTGAGGAAAACCCAGGAGCTGCAAGGCAGCCCTGCTGCCAACAGCCCCGCTTCTTTGATCCTCAGCACCTTCAATGTCGCCCTCATGAATCCCGTCCTCAGCGATCCAGAGCACGGCTCCAACATACTCAAAGGTTCTTGCAAAGGAACGTGCGAGTAGAATGCAAAGCTGAGGCTCACGGTCAGCATGTCGTCCTTTTCTCTGGCCTTGATGTCAAAGTAGTCCCTGCTTGGTGGGTTTTCCGTTTGCGGTTCATGCCTGGTGCAAATTCGGACAAGGGCCGGGCGACTTCAATCCACGAGCACCTAGCAGCAGCAACACAAACTAGCCAGCAACAGAGCTGAGCAACATGTGACTGTTGAGAAAATAATATTCCACCAAGATACTGAATCCCGATTCGATGGCCCGCTTGCCGCTGAACAAATCGAAGCAGAAGAGGTCCTTGGCCAAATACACACACCAAGCGGAACTTGCACGACACACACATACACTCATATGCACACACACACACAGACACATGTAGTAGCAATAGCAAGAGCTGGGCACGACGATCGTTTGGCTCTTCGGCTTGCTGGGCAATGTAGTCCACAAAATGCAACCTAACACAGAGTAGCTTCTTATCTTCAGATCGGATTACTGGAAGATAAACAATCAAAAAACATGTTTCCTTCATGTTTGGTAGTTTTTCGGCCGAGAAACATTAGCGTCGGGAAACCACATTTCAGCAAGGCTTCCACGGTCAGTCTTTGAAGAGCCACATCTTTGAGCACCCATGGCTTATTCTCCATATTAATCTCACCCCGGCGGATACTACAATATGTTTTGGGAATTCCGGAAGAAAAGGACTGACTTGCCCACGAATTAAAGGACCATCTCGCTCACTAACCCACAAAGTTGATAGCCATTTCAAAAAGCCTCCTTGAACAACAAGTTTCGTGTTTGTTTCAGCACAATGCTTGCCAACACCAACCAAACAGTTTCAAGGCACTGAGCTTTTCGATGCTTTCTGCAAGAACGATGTGCTGCTGCTGCTGCTGCTGCTTCGCACACTACCGGCTGTCAGGAATTCCCGCTTCTCGGGCACGTGTGGCAGCAGCCTCCAATCCCTCCCACTCTGCGGCATGCAGGGCGTACTGCCACCTGGGCAAACAAGCGCTTTCCGGAATGGCTGTGGTGCTTCAAGAGAATGCTTGGAGTCGGGCGCATCTTTCACACTTCGAAATTTGCACCATCCAATCTGCAAAGCATCCTGATTATTGACCTGGGCACACGAAAAGCCAACCACTATCATATTATATCAATCAAGCAAACATAAAGCAAACAGCCGGTCACAACAACAGATGTAGTTAGATACTCAGCTGTGCCTTTGAGGCAGAGACCGTAAACTCATCCTCGTTCATCTTCAGGGATTTGTTCAAGGTTTTCACATTCTTTTGCGAAGCATTGCTAACATAGAACGACCTTCTCGACCACCTTAGGGCAACCAAGAGCGTTTGAAGCCTCGACAGCTCCGACTTTTCGACATGATATCCCGGGCACTAAGTACTCGGCAAAACACCAATTGAGCATTTCTTGCCCTTCTGTTTCAGAGTGAAGCTCCTGTGAGGATCAGAAATCATGTCCCTCAAGTATCCACACAACAGTCATTTCAGGAATCACCGTCGATAAGGCTCAGCCACCGGCCTTCTGTCGGTGAAAATGTCTTCATGCAGAGCCATCCGAGCATCTCCCTCGGCCACCTCCACCAAGGCCTTCTTGATGATCATGAAATCCTGCCAAACATCGTCACGAGAGATGCTGCCTACATTTTAGGGCAATATGTTCTAGAAACGTAATACCAAGTTTTGGGGTTGGGGTACTTCAAAGACAATTGCTCTGTCCTTCACGGACATCCCTGCATTTGCTGCTGCCGCTGTATCCTTCTTTGTAACTTTCTGCTGCTTCTCTTCACCTTCCCCACCTTCAGCATCGATACCTTCATCATCTACCTCCCGATCATCCCCCTCTTCCTGCTGGCCTGTTTGCTCCTCCTGCTCTCCCTGCTTTTGCCTCTTGCTACCTGCCCTCCCCATGGATGCTGCCGGTCGCTTCAGAGTGCCTCTCCCCTGAGCACTCCCCGAGGCACTTTGGCATGATCTACCTCGACCTCTCCCTCTGCCTCGGCCTCGCCCTTTGCCTCTTCCTCTGCCCCGGCCGCGCTTGCCGGCTTCCTGGCCATCCTCATCAACTTGATCTCCTTCCTCCTCCTCCTTTTCCTTGCTCGCCCGCAAAGCTGCTCGAACCTTGTTTTGCACCTAAACATTGCAACGATGATGCCACAACTACCAATCAATCGACTACCCTCATGAACAGCGAATGGCCTTGATGGCCTCCGTCGGACCCTCTGTCATCGACACTCGCAGCTGGGCTTCGGCTGCTTCTTGGATTCTCTTAGGGAGCTTCGGAACATGAGCCGACAAAGGCTTTTCGTCCTGACAGGAAAGACTAACAGAACACACCAAAGACTTCTTCACGATACTGCAGTCCTTGAAGGTACCTTTCTCCAAATCCTCTTTCGACTCGCTCTCCATGCCTTCGTCATCCAGACATTCATCATGCTCCTTATCCTCCTCCTCTGCGGCTTCACACGCTTCACCGTCCTGAGGCCAACCACAAGCACAACATATCACTCTATTGAACCACTTCGCCAGAAACTGAATATCAAAATTAGCTCGTCCTCATCAGCCGGTACTTCGCAGCATCCTTCGTCCTGTCAGGTCAAATTGTATACTTAAGTTTGAGATGTTGCTCCACACCTTGGCATCAGCATCATCGCCCTCTCCAGCTTTGAGCTCCTGCACCACATAGACCAGTTCACAATCCCCGACTAAATTTATTGATCTCCTTCGCGGCTTCTGCACGTGCTTCTCTTATGGCTCGCTTGAGCAGAAGCATCTTTTCTTTGTTGTGTTTGCCCCTGGCATACATCGATCAACGAAAGCCTCCCCCACGTAACTCAACAAAGGGACCCTGCCTCACACCCTCGGTTCGGGAAGCTCTGTCACATGCCCACGAAGCGAAGGCTCTTTGAAGGGCGCTTTCCGTCTCAATCCAAGCCTGAGTTGAACTGGCGCTCTTATTGCTCTACGGTTGCCACGACATGTGTTGCACGAACTAACACCTTGCCTCCCGATCAAACTTATCGGCATCGGGGTGCAACCGGAACTCCTTGTCGGCCCACTCCACAGCAGCCTGTGGCCAGGGCAAGAAGTCAACATAAGCCCATGACGTGCTATCTTCATTCATGGGGCTTATAATGCATTCCCTGCCTGAACCTCTTTCTTTGTCGGGAGTTTCTTCGCGAACGTAGTGGTGTAGTGCAGGAGGAAGGTAAAGTTTGCATCGGTGCAGGCCTTCATCCAAGAAAATCACATTTCACGTTTCAAGCAACCAGCTTCAGACAGAGAAGATGAAACGACTTATGCGCTCCTGGTCCTCACTGGGCTCTTTCTCTGTGACATCCAAGAAGGAAAAGAAGACGTACTGGCAGCATCCACTTTACTTACCAAAATTACCAAAACTAGTGATCTAGCTCGAAGCTCGAAGTTGTGAAGAACATCCCGCCTTGTTCTTCTCCGCCCGTTTGCGGAGTGTCGCGAAGCGGTCGTTGATGTAACTCGGCTTGCAGAAATCCCGATAGAGCTCCTGCAGGCAAGCTGGATGCAAGGAGCCCATTCTTAGAAAACCTCATCACAGTTCTCAGTCCTTCAAAAGATTGACCTGCTTCGCATTGGGCTTCGAGTCGGGCATAATCTTAAGCCCTAGAAGTTA